ATGCTTTACATGTTGGAGCTTAAGATTAATTTTTGCATAATCAGTACCTCACATTGCACATATATATTTGATAGACTGGAATTGGGTATAGAAGAAGTGCAGGATTTATGTGCCCTTGCACATAAATCTCACCCCACGAGTAAAAAAAAAGAGTTCTTCCCACTATAAGGTATTGGCTGCAAATTATAATATCCAGTATCATTTTCATTTGCTTCATCTATGCCAAATTTTCCAAAGGTTCCTTCCCAATTTATCCAATCTACCCTCATATGGGCACTGAAGTCACCAGATATTATGATTAAGTCTGATGGGGACAAATATCATCTTTGACAAGGTTAAGCTGATGCATTTTCATCAACAGAGTAAAGCAATGTTATTTCTTCATTGCTGGCTGGTTCTTGAATGGTTTTGGTTTCTAATCCAGTTAGTCCCAATTCAGATTATCACTTCTAGTGACATTTTGTGATATGGTTGTTCAACAATAGTTTCTTTTTAACTGACGTCCAGTCATATATTTCAAATGGCTATTTGGATGTCCAATTTTGGCTTAAAAATATATGCTTTGTTCTCTAATTGATTCTTTAGCCAGTCTCAAACTTTTCACAGCAGCCGGAATGTGGCTATTTGCCAATCTGATACAAGTTGCCCCCAAAGCAATACTATTGTGGGAAGTTAGCCCCACCCAGAGAAGGAAATATTAAAAGGGCAGAATATTATATTTCCTCAAAGGATCTTAAAGAGGCATGCCCAGTTTTTTCTTAATAGTTCCAAGTCTCCCTCTTACAAACAGAAACCAACTCTGTAGAAATGCAGATGTAAATAATCCATTCAGGAAGGTTGGAGGCCCCCAGCTAGAAGCTTAGGAAGACAAAGACACCTAAAATCTACATACCCCACCCAAACTCTTAAGACAGGACATAATAGGATTAACCCACAGATGTCAAAGGGGCACACTTAGACTCAGGTCAAAATAAATGACACAGGAAATAAAAAGTCCTCAAACAGGAACAGGAAACAACCTCAAGAGCCCCAGAGGGTATAAAAACCCACTCCCTACATGTGCTCTCTCTCTTTTCTTCCAGAGCCATCTTTCTCTCTGGCTCTCTTCAATAAACTGCAACCTTCTTTTTAAAGCAGTTGCCATGTTGTTTATTCCCAGCTTGGACTGAACCATAATGAAGACTTTTCCTTCAACACTATTTTCATATCTTAGTTGTCCTTTGCCCATAGATTCATGCCTGGTTTTACAGTCTCTTGGCAGGAAGTCAACTCTCTTCCTTGACTCTGAGCTTACTAGCTGTGGCTCTACTCTTTTCTTCAAATATATCTTTGGAGAAAAGATTACCTAACAACTGAATGTTGGTTTCATCAGAATGTATTTATTTATTTCAAAATGTTTCAGGGTCATCAGGGTTTTCTTTTGCATAATTTAGACTTCTGTGAGAAAAGGCTTCCATCAAGGCTCCCATGTAGGCTGCTGTTACGTAAACAAGGCTGTTCCATGACCTGTATGCCTGTCAGAAGAACTTTTCAGCAGGTTGTAGGTTAGGTTATCATCTGTGGGTTCTGTTTTGCACATCTGACCAAATCTAACAAAGGCTTTTCTTGGTCTTCCGGATAACCTCAACATCTGGAAGACCAACTTGACTTCAACAGTTCCATGTAACTTCCATTTCTTAATGTAGTTTCTCCCAATTGAAATTGCTAACTGTAAACATTTATAGATGTCTCATACCTCTCCCACTTTCCTAAGAGTGAAAAAAAAAATTCAAATGCTTAAAGAGGTTCTTAATGTAGTTCATGACTGTTAAAACAGACAAAACAACGACGACACACTGAGAAATTAGAAGGGTCAGAGTAAATCAAAAACCTTTTAGGGCCTGAGTTCCATAACTAGAAAAGTGTCCAAGGTTTTGTATGTGTCATAGGGATCAGATCTTAATTTGAATCTCCAAACAACAATTTGCAGACATATATAATGCTAAATGTTTGTCCATGTAGAGGTAGTATGTACTCACTTAGGGATTCAACAAAATCTACTAGTTGTCCAACAATGCCTAAATTTTACATGCTGTTGTAGCTAATTGCCTTTACCATTATTAAATTTTCCTAATTGCTAAGAGGTTTACAGAAAACATAATAGAAATAATACAGACCTCATTGGGTTTTAAGATAAATTTAAATCATAATAATCCCAATAAATTTACAGCATTTTTAAGGCAAAACCTAATTAGAGCATAAAGTAACATCACTGTGTAAGAACAACAGTGTAATATAATAAGTCACTTCCTTCTGTACATCAAATGCACAGTTAAGCAAAGAAGGCAATAGTGGCTTGCTATCAACTAAACTATCATTGTTTAAAACTATCATTTTAGAGAGTCAAGAATTGGCAGACACTCCAAAAGACGTGTACATTCCATTTTAAAAAAACATTTCCTTGACATGATATTCACTCCCCCCCCCCAAAAAAATGCCCTGCAAATTGACTCCTAGTGACTACCTGGACAAGTCCCTGCAAATTTCTTGCCAAGATTTTTGGAAGTGGCTTACCGCTGCCTTCTTTCGGTGGCTGACACTCTAGAGTGGCATTTTAAAATCATAACACTATCACCCTTGGGCTGCTCTAGAATTGCCACCTTGGTTTCATCACTACGAAATTCCCAATGTCTAAAACAAGCTTATTTACTTCAGAATACGCTCCCAATAAACAGGAACTCGCTATTTAATTACTTGCTCATATAATACTAAGGCTCAAAATGCCCTGCTTATAATAGAGGAAGCTTCTTCACTTTAAGTGTAAGTTCCTTTCACATGAATCACATAATCTTTGCAATGAATATAAAATAATATCTGAAGTTTTCTAAAATCCTTTACAAAGGATTCTTTTTGATGCTGCTGCAGTGTAAAAATTGTGCAAATAAGAACAAACATTGTAAAAGATTGAGGTTTTCTGTAGCAAGCGCAGAAATGCCATAGCCAGAGTGCCAAGGTTGCAAGGCCACGTATTTTCCATTTAAATGATAGTTTTAATGTCCAAATCCTTTACTAAGAATTAGAGCCACTACTGAGTTTGCACAGGGCTTCAATTTCTGGGTGTTTCTTTTTAAGTCATAGCATCACTTCCAGAAGCTGTCATATCATTACTTCAGATATTTTAAGATTCCTTAGGGAATAGCAATACACTAAAAAAAGATTTTTCACTCATGATAATTACTATCCATTTAAGAGGATAGGAAGAAACATTGACCTGTTATTGCCAAATGCTTAACATCACCATCATTGTGCTAATAAACAATTTTCATAAATCTGTAGATCTAAATACTGTATTAATTACTGCAACATCGTGAAATGAAACCTACACTCTTACTTTCACATCTCACTAGCACATATTAATTAGATTTACAGCTCACTTACAATCAGCCTAAAATCTTCTTTCAACAATACAGAGTCTAAACCAGGCTTGTACAGCATGGGACACATAACCCCCCACCACCAAGAGCCTTGTATGGCCCACCAACTATTTTTAAAAAATAAATTTATCATCCTCCTAAAGATGCGCTGCTAAGCACTTCCAAACCTCACCATCCACCGCCAGATCCAGCACTGCCCCCGCTAATGCTAGCCAACAATGAGCTGATCAGTGTGTCAGTATTCCTTTACAGCCAACAATTATTTTTCACTTATCAACGTAGCCCTAGCCCAGTGGTGGCGAACCTATGGCACGTGTGCCAGAGGTGGCACTCGGAACCATCTCTGTGGGCACGCGTGCCGTTGCCCCAGCAGAGATCGCCAGAGTAGCGAGCACGTAGCGTTTGGAAGCAACAGGGCAGGAAGTGAGCGAGCAAGCGGCGTTGGCACCCGGAGATGTCGAGAGACTGGCCCCAGCCATGCTCACCCAGTCTGCGGTGACCACTGCAGTCATGCCCACCCAGTCGGCCATGCTCCTCATCCCCCCTGAGGGCACCACAATGCTGATGCAGCCCTGGCACTTTGCGATAAATAAGTGGGTTTTGGGTTGCAGTTTGGGCACTCGGTCTCTAAAAGGTTCGCCATCACTGCCCTAGCCCCTTCCCCTCTATCTGTTGTGCAGGCTTGGTCTAGACATTAAGTTGCCCATACTCCAGAGTGCCCCCCTACCAGCTAACTTCAGTAAGCATCTATAAAAACACAGTATTTAATTTAAAGCAAAAGGAAGAATGACAACAATAGGGGGAAAAAATTACGTAGCTGAGGACTGAACTGTAGAATTCTTGCTGCTCTCTGAGCTTGACTGTTTGTTTGGAGATGTTTCATTACCCAATTAGGTAACATCAGTACAAATTAATCAGCGAGTACTGATGTTAGCTAGTTGGCAGTGAAACGTGTGCAAACAAGGAAGCTCTGAAGGCACCAAGAATGCCACAAAAATGATAACAGCTAGCTGACTTTGGCTCATCACAGAAAGCTAAATGGGACTAGATCTGGTTAATGCTTGCACGGGAAACCACCGGGAAATCCCACAGAGTGTGTGTGTGTGTGTGTGTTTGCCTTTATTTTGTACAGATCCGGCTAATGCTTGCACGGGAAACCACCGGGAAATCCCACAGGGTGTGTGTGTGTGTGTGTGTGTGTATTTGCCTTTATTTTGTACAATTCAAGGCAGTGAAGATAATGCTCCTGCCTCTTTTTTTCTCTCGCCACAACAACCCTGTGAGGTGGGCTTGTGCACCGTTGCTAAGAAAAGCATGCAAGTGCCTCCCTCTCTTTGCCTCCATCCTCCCACGGGGCCTCGCAGGGCACCGCCGGGAGCAGCAGCCAAGCAGGGGCTCCGGACATCCTTTGCCACCGGCGGTCCTCGCCCAGGAAGAGCGGCCGCCGGCTCCCTCCCTTTCCAGGGAAGCCCCGCGAGTCAGGCTGGCAGGGTCGCCAACGAGAAGAGCCCGGGAAGGAGAGGCTGGGTCGCGATCGGCTCAGGACGGACGCTGCCGACCCGGCACCCACCTCCTCCCGCTACTTACACAACGACTCGGGAAACGATGCACGACACCATGTTGTCTCTCGAAGGGCTGGGCCTCGGATCCTGCCACCGCCCCCAGAGAGCGCACAGCAGCCGCAAAGGGCCTCGGTCGGACCCGCCCTTCCCGCTCGCCGGCTCCTCGCCCCGCCGGGCCTCGAATGGCTCGCGAACGTTTCACCGAAGACAACAGAGCCCCGCCCTCCCTCCGCTCAGTCCTCACAACAGGCGGAGGCCACGCCCCCTCGCCACGGATTGGCCCCTTGTCGTCGCCGGCCTTCCTCCGCCGTCCGCTCCATTGGCGGAAGTGCGCATGCGCCTGGCTTTGCTCGGGGAGGAGAGAATGGGTAGGTAACAGGCCGGGAATCTGCGCAAGCGTAGCTTTTTCTCTCTTTGTAGGTTCCTCGCGCATAGGGTAAATTCCTTTTTTTATAGGGGTTTAAATCCGACCCTTTAGGGGCGTAGCGGTGGCTTGATTGTTTACTGCCCTCGTGCACTGCCTTTGTCGTTGACTTATGATTCCATCTTTGGAACAGTTTGCATAGGATCCCAAAGCATTGGATCGCGCAAGACTTGCTTCTCGCGGGGATTTTCCTCCCCGGCTCCATCCATTGGCTGATTTTTCTCAAAAAACTGGGGAAGGGGAGGGAGGAAATTGGGAAAAGCGAGCGAGGTTGGCCTTAGCGATCGAACCAATGCAAGATGGGTTTTATGTAACATTGACCTGCGTGCATCCGGCAAGCGCTTTCCCACTGAATTGCAGGAAACGCGGTGAGGATACTGCTTTCTTTTCAGATAAATGACTTCAGATAGGTAAGATGACCTCTGGCAGAAAGGCATTTCTGTACGTTGTAGAAGGCTGGGCTGGGTCTTCGATGTTTGAGGAACGCCTTTTGAGAATTGAGTGGGGTGAGAAAAACGTCAGGAGGGGCGAGGAGAGGAATCTAAAAACTGGGCATATCTGAGCAAAATAAGCAGATATATATATATATATGAGTTCTCTTTTCAGATGCTGGTTAAGTTTTGCTTAGGGGTATTTTTTTTCTCTCCAAAAGCTGTTCTAAGCTCTGCTCTCATTTCGTTGTTGTTCTGTGCTAAGATGCAACTGATAAATAGAAAAGAAGGGTAATGGAGGTAAAAAGGAGAAAGACTCTTTTGAGGTAGGTTCATATCCAGATGACTTTCTGGATACATCCATGCGGTGTTCGTAACACTCAGTAACTATTGCTTTCTGAGATTTTTAATCTGGGTCTAGTCCAGGGGTCTTCAAACTCGGCCCTTTTATGACTCATGGACTTCAACTCCCAGAATTCCTCAGCCAGGCATGGGAGTTGAAGTCCATGAGTCATAAAAGGGCCGAGTTTGAAGACCCCTGGTCTAGTCCATGGCCGTATTACTTTCTTGCGTATTGTGTATCTATCAAAGTATTAAACAAGACTTATGCGGTTTAAGAATTTCAGAATCAGCCAAGGTCAGATTGGAGGCCTCACATGGCTGAGCTAATAATTTTGATTCTCCCATTCCTGTAATAATTTTAAAGGAACCTTCTCTTTAGATGGTCCTTACAGTAAAAGAACTCCATCTTCAGATAGTATATTGAATGGTCTTCAGGGAAAGTACTTTATGGATGGTATCTTGTTTCTCAAAGGCTGTGTTTGCACAACTCGCTGAAATACACAGTCTACAGTACTGACTTGTATGAACCCCGCCCAGGTAATTAAAGACCAGTGAGACCTGAAAGCCAGAAAATTGAGTAATTGAGATTAACTAGGGTTAAATGTCTTCTGCAAGCTAGGAGTCACTGCAGATTTCAAAATTTTTGTGAGTGGATCTTGGAATTCCATTGTCACCTGTAGTGTTTATCTCTATTCAGATAATAATAGAGGAGTGGAAGTTAAATGGCATGAAGGTTGATATTGGAGAATACAGTGTTTCAGAATGAAGGTTGATTTCAACGTGAGAATATATGAAAATTAAGATTTCCTTTATTAAATATAATGGTGTCTATTCCTGTAATAATTGTTTTGGGCTCCTCTGCATTTGCTGTAGTTCTGTGAACAGCTACCTGAAAAGATTAGAATTCTAAAAGATTAGAATTAGAACTCTAGATTTAGAATTGCTAGGGTGTGTTGCATCTGAAGGTAAATCTAATAGTTCTGCAGAACCCTCACATCAAATAATGCTTCAAACAACTGTAAGGATGAGGGCCTCTTGAAATGAAAATCTGATGGCTTCAATTGTTTGAAAATGTATGCTGCTATCTAGAAAGTAAATATTTCTGAGATTTCAGTTCTCTAGATATAACACATTATGAACTGAAAATTCATCTTAAGGCAAGTTCTTTAATAGGCAAAGGTTGTAAAATAATTTAAATTTTAAAGCACATTAGTTAACAAAAAATAAAGAATGAAAGAGAAAAGGTGTGTTTGACATTAAAGGTCAGTCCCTTAACTGGGATGTAATTGTAATCTGCAGAGATAGAAAATTGCTTTGTTTATTAAATTTACGCCTTGCCTTTCCTCTAGGACATGGGTGTCAAATTTGCTGTGTCATGTGACGTGTCACGACGTATCGTGACTTTTTTGCATTGCCGGAGCTGAGGTGGGTGCGGCCTTTGCATGATGCAACTGGCCCATGGGCCCGCAGTTTGACACCCTGCTCTAGGAGCTAAATTAAGTATACAGAGACTCTTCTATTTTATCTTTTCATTGAAGCCCACATAAAATAGATTAACCTGGGAGATAGTGACTGGCCCAGAGTCACCTTGGAGCTTCTAATCCCATGGGAGGCCTTGAATCTGGATCTTCTTAGTTCTAATACAGTATCTTAACCATAAGAGAATTTGATATTTTAATAAGTTGAGAGATGTTTAGATTGTTAGTATACACCTTTGGAAAAATAATAACGTAATAGTTAAACCAAAGCTAGTACATGGTCTTATTGACCCAGTATAACATACAATCTCATGTTAATATAATCTTAATGCAATTAGCACCCTTCCTGGAGCAATAGATATAGAGCAGAGGTGTCAAACTTCCGGCCCACGGGCCAGATGCGTCACACCAAAACCGCGCCCACCCCATTGCTGGCAATGGAAAAAAAGTCACGATACGTTGCGACGCATCACGTGATGTTGCGAGTTTGCCACCCCTGGCATAGAGATACCTTGTTTTCAGATTTTCTAGCACTAGCATGCCATGCCCTATTTCAGTGATCCCAGTGTAGCATCTATTCTACTGATTCTAATCTAAACCCTCCCTGGAATGAGTCAGCAGATCCCAATTATCTCTTTCTTGTCTTCCTGTGAGCATTTACTGAATGCTTTGGGGCAGGTGTGTACCTACATGTGCTAAATGAGTCAGAGCTGGGTGTGTTAGTTACCCATAAAGTCATAGCTTGTTGTGTTGATGAGACAGTAGATTATTTGCTGTTTATATTCCAATAAACCACCTTCATTTGTTTATGAATGATAGGATTTGTTGTGTAATATGAGAAGACAGACTTGACTGTATAGATTGTGCAAAATGTTTGATCTCCAGTGTGGAAACTTGAACTTTTTTCTTTTAGTTACACAAATTGGTGAAGTAGACCGGAGTCCATGTTAGTCTAGGAATGTTTATTTACAAAAAAAAAAATATCTCAGAGAGACTGGAACAGAGCATGAAAGCTATGTGTGCTTTGGCAGTAAAGTCTTGGCTTGTTTTTATGCCGCCCCATAAATGGATGGAAAAAGGAGCTCACATGTAAATAGCAAGGCAATGTGGTTGGTCTGAGAGAAATGCAAAGCCAATTTGTTGGGAGAATGTTTCACACAAGGCTTAAGATGGAGAAAAAAAGAATTAAGCAATAGCAGTTGGGAAGCAGATTATAGAAGGTCAAATATGATGAGAAATAACCTTATCTACTTGGATCAGACCAAGACCTTAGTGCAGTGGTGGCGAACCTATGGCACGGGTGCCAGAGGTGGCACTCGGAGCCCTCTTTGTGGGCACCCGTGCCGTTGCCCAAGCCTTGCCTCCCCCCGCAACCCACTCCTCTCCAGCAGCCCCCCTGAAGGAGAGTCGCCCTCGAGGGTGGCCCACACGGAGCAGCGCAGCCAAGGACATGGCACCCAGGCAGCGTAGACAAGACTCTGCCCTCACACCCCATCATGCAGTTGATGCTGCAGGGCGCGGGCAGAGGATGTGGCCGCCATAGCGCTGCTGCGTTGCCTGGGCGATCTGCGGCGGGCCCTGAAGGCGGTGAGTGGTCCTGTGGGCAGGCGGGATGGGGGGCAGAGCGGGGGCAGGGGCGGAGGCAGTTTTTGAACCAGAAAGCAGGCCAAACTTCACAATTAGCAGGAATTGATTAGCGGGGAAGTAGTCTGAAGGTGGCTTGCAAAGTAGTTGTTTGGTTCCTGAATGCTGCACTGGTAAATATTAAACTTGCTTTTGGGATATTATTATTTTTGCTTTGTTCTTAAGTCACAGGTTATCCTGAAGGCAGCATAAATATCCAGTATTTGTTCTGTGTCCCAATAGAAACTGAACCTGTAAAGGGTGTTATATTTCTGGCTGTTCAGAAAAGGAACCACAAATTATGCCTTAGTTTTAAGTTTTCAAAGTTGTTAAACTTGTTTTGCAATGTAGGTTTCTATGCCTTAGATATTACATCCTTCACACAGCAGTTTTTAAAAGAGAAAGCATTCTTATGCACAAGAGTTGTCCTTTATGGGGAAAAAAAGCCCAGTGGAGTCAGCTTTTGCATTTATTGCCGTGGTAACTGAATTCTTTGTGGAAAAATGCATTACAATGTATTTAACTTAAAAGATTTATATGACTGCAATTCTTAAGCAATTCTGGGCAGTTTATAACAGCAAAAGATAGTTACAAAAGATGGTCGCCAGGACTAACACAAATAATAATTAGATGCCATTTTTGTTATTAATACTGTGATATTTCACAATTATTTGAGCTTTGCTGTAGAGAAAGTTCAGCAAAATCGAGTAAGAAAAATGAAATCGAAAAATGAAAACACAGACCTGCATATAGCTTCAAATTTAACTAGAATATATTTTAATAGCAACTTTAATTGTAATT